TAGCTTCTTGTTAATCGTTCGCGGATACTCGTTTGTTTGAAGACTTCTTCTACATGATAGATTTTGCGTTGAAGCCTGTTTAGGGCTGATGATGGTCGCATCGCTGTGTCAAATAAGCTTATAACCACTTTTGCTTTCGTGCATATCGAAGAGTTAGAATTGAATTGTAAGTAGTGTTTCACTAGCGTAGACTACCAATAGACCAAACTTTTAGTGATCCACTGTTTTTTACTTACTTTGCAACATAAAAAGTAAATATATCGGTTCTCTGATTCATATCATGAGATGCATAGATGGAATCGCAATATTTAGATATTAGAATAATGTTGGTAGACAGTTGCTCTTCCTGTTCACGAAGATGTCATCAGTGCACCATCACCATACTGTTGAAGAGGCGTGTTAGTTGTTCAGAGCCTTCCTTTCGAACTTTTACATGCCAACACTGCTTCTAGTTGGTACTGAAACGCGCCCTGTTACGGACATCTCAAATATGAGGTTCTGCATCCAATGTACTGCTGGTGCCTAAGTAAGAAGGAGTCGTGTCCTGACCAAATGGTCCCCTAGGCGACTAGTCGCAAAGGGAGTTGTGGTCATCTCGAGTAAACCTATATTAGAAATTGAAATTGAGACGTTACCGTTGCTGGCAGAAAGAAAAATCTAGTATATAGTAACTACCCCAGAACTCAGAGTTGCCATTTATTTCAGATTGCCAATATTCTGAATTTTTGATTTCCGCTTTCGACGCCGATCATTAGCTTTAAATTTGAACCATATTTGCAAATTTGTGTTTGGAACAGTGTATCCGCGTATTACACGCTTAGAAATAATATTGATCTCAGACAATGACGCCAGTAGTGTAAATGTAATGAACTACCTACTCCAATATCGGATCACAAGGCGTATTATATTGCTAATTCGTTAGTATTCGGGGTTAAGCAGACATGGCTCATCTGAACTGCTATACGTATCATCTTATCACCTAAAACTAAGTTATTTGCTACATATAGACGAAATTGAATCTGTAAACCCTAGTCTCGATCATTTCGGCACAAAAAGCATTTTAAATTTAGAATGCAATATACATTCTAAAGCGTAAGAACAATACAACAGCTACTAATAAGCCTTGTGAGCGTTCATGGAATTCATCGTTACAACGGGTATATGGGTTTCCTCAGAAGAATAGTGTTCTTACACATTTCGACATAGTTCAGAGCAGAGACATTCGAGAGAGCTTTGGTGTACAGCCGCTGCTTTTTGAGAGATAACGGCTGCCATGACTTGGGAACGTCCTGCTAATGGTTCCAGATGTGAAGGTTGATAAACCTCTGGTTGTTCTAGCGAATGACCGAAGATTCCGAACACGTCGAAAACCAATTTAAGGCAACTGTTTCAATCGGCTTCGCCCGAGACAGGGGTTATCTTCTTGTGGAGCTGAAATATCGGCACGGGATTGACAGTTATGTCAGCAATGTGTGATTTTTCTGCCTCTGCGATCCCAAACCACAAGCTTTCACAAATTTTACTGACTGAGAAAAGAATCATTGTGTCTTCTTTATTCTTTGCTCATAGAATATACGGAGCAGGTACTGTTTGCTGCATTAACGTAACTTATATTTTCTTGTGTTTTTGAACTGTTGGACTGGTGTAGCATCTTGAAGATTTGCTCCAGTTTCTCGTTAGTGACGATTTGCAACTACTGATTCTTCTTTCCAATTGTTCTTTTTCTACATTGGTATCTGTTATTGTACTGAGAAATCCATCATTCTTTCCGTGACGAGGTATATACTCTGCTCTAATGCAGTAAACAATATTGTGGAAGTTGCTTGCAATAATCTGGAGGAGATACTTTTTTTGACAACGACAGCTTTCAGTCGTTCAGTTGTTGATCAGAAACTCGGTAGACCTATCACGTAGCTCGGCTCACCGACTGGTATCATTGATGGCGGACTGTCGTTTAATTGCCCACCACGATGCAGAGAAAATTTTATCAGGGGCCGGAAACGCTGCATTTAGCGGGAGAAAACTCGAAACCGAGAGGACTGTCGGGCGAGTTGCGACCTGCGCGATTCATTTGCAACTACTGACCAGCTCAAGTGATCCAAGCGACCAATGGTGAATCGCTGCAAACGTTTCCTGCTCAGGTCGTCCGGCTGGTAGAAGGCAGCTGATTCTGTGACAAGCATGACATTCCCTTTATTCTGTACACCAGTTTCTGATTGGTGTTAACGAGCTAGTTGATTTGACATTGATGACCGAACATATAACACGGATGCTTTCGTGCGCTCTCTTAAATCAAAATTATTGGTTTTGTGAGAAAGTTGTTCCTGTGGTAATGAACTCTGACAGATGTAATATGTTCCGAACTGACCAGAGTTCTGTTGTCAAGATTCGAGAATTTGTCATTGTTTCTTGGATCCGGTCCAATACTACTGAATTTCATCACTAACAGTAGAGAAGGAAATACTACGGATTGTTCTGTGGTAAACAGATATCTACGTTTGTGCCCGTTTATTACGGGTTTTTGTCAATGTTAAAGTTAGAAAGTGTTGAGCTTTGTATTTCACAGTGCAACGTGCTCTGTTTAGCCAAAAACCGAAATGTCTGTCGTCCAATGGAATATTGAATTGTTATATATCAAAATAGTGTTTTTGAGCGAATCTTTCACGATTTCGTTGTTGCTTTGTGATCACATTACCTTTTTTCTAGTTACGCAGTTGGAGCCAAAAGAGTTAATAGAATTGTAATAGAGTCAGTGATACTCAACTCAATATCGGGCCATCCGACATTTCTGTAACTTGCGACATTATTCGAAATCATCATACTACCTGAATGGGATCGCAGGAGAATTTTTTCTGCAGCTGAAGAAAAATAAAAACGATATCTGTAAATGCCATACAACAGACTTGAGCTTCTATGCCTAGTGCTAACGAACAAATTAAGACTAAGCAAACAACCACTAAAACTAGCCCAGAATCATGAAGCAATGAGAACAGAGATGTTTGGAAGAAGACTATGTAACACTGAACAAATTCAA